AGAAAAAAAAATGATGATAGAGGTAGTATTAGATAGGATTATTACAGATAAGATTATTTTTTAAAATTAATTCTTAATGGCTTTACTTACTGGGTTGTATCCCATCCTCTCTCCCTTTCTCTCCTTCCCTCCTTCTCTCCTTCCTTTTGGATTTACCAGGTCGCAGAACCCTGGCTGTAATCACTAAACTTGATCTCATGGATGCCGGTACTGATGCCATGGACGTACTGATGGGAAGAGTTATTCCAGTGAAACTTGGAATAATTGGAGTAGTAAACAGGTTAGTAATTAAGAATGGGACAGGAATTGTGACATTCTCATTTCAAAGCAAGTCTGAATATCTGAAATGTTGAATGGGTCTATTTTCCCCCTTTTTATTATAGTCTTGATATTGCTAAGAATCCATTGCTCTAACAGAAGAAAAGAGATTGACTAAAGCCTCCCATGCACATTTTTGGTGGAAAATGTTTCTAAAATTAGCAGTGTCATGAGATGGAAGCTAATTTAATAGCAGAGCTTCAAGAATTCTTGCCTATTATGTTAAACTATGTATGAGGAGGCACTAGGTAAAGAAAAAAAGTATTATCTAATTTGCACCCAATCAAGGAAGAGTTTAAGGGGTAGGATTTTAATAGCTTGGTAGGTCTCTTAGCATTAGTGATTCTGTTTAATTGCCAGAATGTGACTTGGAGAAATTTTACTAAAGGTATCCTAATTATAAATAGTTGGTATTAAAAGTTGGGGAAAGGAAACTATTATTGAGTGTTAATTATGTTTTAGACCAACTACTGTGAGCAGTTTGCAAATAGTATCTCTTGGAATTTGAGATAGCTATTGATGTCTATAATCAGAAAACTCCAGTTATTCATTTAACAAGGTTATACAACTAGTCAAGGGTAGAGCTGGATCCATAGGAAGACCTCTTTGTCCACAGCCTTTACATGATAGAAAACATTGAAATTATCACAAGATCTGGGTTCTAGTCCTAATTCGCCTATAAACTAGATACCATGTGGGTTATAAGTGACACCTAACATCTCTGAGTCTTAAGCTTTTTAAAACAAAAATGTTTTACTATGTGATATCTAAGATCCATTCCAGTTGAGGCCTCTGTAAGTCCTTCTGTCCCAACCCCTGCTCCTACTTATTTTCTCCCAATTCCAACTATCTCCCTTTTCAGGCATATGACACTGGCTAACACTGTTCTAAATGTAGGTGATTGCTCTTTAAGTTGACTTAATTATGTTGGTAGAAATTAATTGTCCATTGATAAAATATACAACTGATTAAGATACAAAATATACAACTGATATTTTGCACCTGTGTATATGTGTTAAGTCTACTGCTTTTGTCTATGGTTAATGGTAATAATGAAGCTTAAACTATTCAGGCCTTATTATAAGGTCACATAGTTCAAATCATGCCTTATTACTTACTATTACTTGCCATGCTACTTACTGTGTGACCTTGATTATCACCATCATCTAAAGGAGGGAAAGGACAACAGTTAACTATAGCTTTTTTTATTTTTCAACCTTAGGAGCCAGCTAGATATTAACAATAAGAAGAGTGTAGCTGATTCAATTCGTGATGAATATGCTTTTCTTCAAAAGAAATATCCATCTCTGGCCAACAGAAATGGAACAAAGTATCTTGCTAGGACTCTAAACAGGTAACATTTCTTTTTTGTCTTACAGAAATGAAATGTATTTGTTTTGCCAAGAGGTGTCTGAGAGCTTTAATTTTTAGTTTCTTGGTTCAGTGCCTGTGGCTCAAGTGGCTAAGATGCCAGCCACATACACCTAAGGTGGCTGGTTC